GCTTTTGAAGTCTCAGGACCTCTTCGGCAAATTTGCCTACCTAGCCTCCCATCGAATGAGTACCGGGGGCTCTTTCCCCTGGGTAAAGCTCTCGGTAACACCATCTAGTGCCAAGGTTAAGAATGGTGCAGCCCTACCTCCATTCCCCCATACATTTTCACAGGGTGTTACTTAGTCAAGTACGAGAGAGTTTTTTTTTTAAATATACTCGGTTATGATACTCATCAGAACTGTTGTGGGCAGAAGCTATCTCATAAATTCCTTAACTCTTCTGACTTCTGTCGGGGAGATGTCCTGCTTGAGTCTCGACATTGACACCATTTGAGGTGTTTCGTGGTGTCTTCAGCACCTTCACGTGCATATCTGATAGCTATAAATAGGTCACGACCACTTCCTTTCACACGCATTCTAATACATCATTTATGAATTTCATGCCATTCGATGAGTTGTAGTCTGAACTAGAGACAGCTTCGCTAAATAAGAAACAAATAATTAAAATACAAATCACTGCATTAACTTGAAAAATATCCGAAATGAAAAACATGCTCAAGCGGCTCGTATGTTTCGTTGCAACGCTGTAGATGCTAGTGACACCTAGCAATGGAAATGCAGACGAGTTACAGCCGATACTGCGCTGTACCTCCTGTCAGTTATGTTTCCGTTGTATTTCAAATCCTACTGGTGCACTATTTAAATGTCGTTCTCTTACGTTTGTACGTAATTTTGTAACAGAACTCCATCTCTAACCCTCCTTAGTTTACAATACATGGGTAAGTAAACCTTATCTCTGGCTGTTTCATTATTGAAAGAAATATTTAGCGAACAAATAAAATAATAACGCATTTTATTAAAAAAACATCGAATATCAACCTCGTACAGACTATTCTAACCGAGGTTGTTCGTCGAGGCAAGTGTTCTGTGCATAACTAATTAAGCACTAGGCCATGAAGGCGTATGGGGGACTGGATGAATAGATCCACATTTTCCTGATCTCAGACACTAGCTGGAGGTGAGTGGTCAGCTTCACGCTCCGGTTCTTTTTTCCCTTGGGAAAGAGCCCCCGGTACCCATTGGATAGGAGGTTGGGTGAACCCCAGAGCCGGTTTGGATGACGTGAAGGAGAGAAAAAATTAGCCCTACTGGGACTCGAACTCTGACCCCACGGGCATCCAGCCCGTAGCCAGTCGCTATAACGACTGCGCTCTCCTGGCACCTAGTGCTGGGATAGTATAGAAATTAACGAAGCAGCGTGAAGCAGGTAGCAAGCTTCTCGGCCCTGAAAATGGAGGCAACGTGTTCCTCCGAAACATGGGTTTGCTAACAACGTAGTACACAGCGTTATGCCCCATAAGATATAACTCCTCTATAAACTTTGCTATTTATTAATTAAATTCTCGGTATATTTGTGTTTATTCAAATTATGAATTGCATTTTCTGGAATTAGAAGGTCTATAACAAACAAGAGAGCACGAGGTAGCCTGAGGAATTATGCTACAAGCCGGAAGGTCGCCGGTTCGAATTCCAATGAAGTCATTACATTTTTCAATTTACCTAACCCTTCCAGCCGCACTATGGCCCTGGAGTCGATTCAGCCTCTAACAGAAATGAGTACCGGGAATGTTCCTGGGGGATAAAGGGTGGCCGGAGTGTAAGGCTGACAACCTCATCGCCATCTGTGAGCCGATTGTCTAGAAAGTGTGGCAGCCTCGACATCTCATAACACTACGAGCCTTCACGGCCTGTTACAGAGACAGCTTTGTTACAAATAAAGCTCTTGTATTGATATTTGCAGTTTATCATTGGTTTCAACGAGCCATTGTCTGGTATAAGTTACGCTCATTTTTCATTTCAAAGACATGATGACCACTGAAATATCTTTCATCAGTTCTGCATGTCGGTTGAAGAGGGCAGAGGGAGGCCAGTCGCCGTCTATTTAGGTCAATCCTTTTAATAAAACGAGAACGAAGCGCAGATGATGTTCAGTGGGTTCTTTGACCCTTGACTGAAAAGAATATTTTGTATTGGGGTTAAACTTGAGCTAGAAATAAGTTTTATCATTCAGTTCCCACTCCATACGTAGGAAGAAGAGCAATAATTTATGTCCATGTTATGTCGAGTTCAATTTAAAAATATCCACAAGACCTAGACAGACTATACTCCACTGAACGAAAGCTTTGAACGGCACAGAATGTATATTTGTAATTTTGTTTGTTATTTAGTTATCTAGGACACGATCGGGTATGTTCACGTTGGACTTAAGGCATCTTGGCCGGGCTACCGCCTGTTCCCTTACTCTTCGATCCCGAAAGCAAGCAATTTATTCCTCCGAAACGTCGGTGAACTTCTATCGCGTCACATGTTGTCACATCCCAGAAGATATTGCTTTTCAAATAATAAGCGTAAGGATGTGACGTCGTGTAGCCTGGTAGAAGTTTACTCTTGTTTCGGTGGAACGTACTGCATCCATCTTCATGATGGAGCAAGCAACAAGAAAGCATGACAACACGCGACAATATTAAAATGGTTCTGAGAGAAATTGATTGGAGTGTTATTGACTGGATTGATCTGGCTCAGGTAGTGACCAGTGGAGGACTCTTGTGAAGAAGGTAATGAATCTTCGAGTTCCATAAATTATTTGAAATTCTTGAGGATCTGAACAGCTGGCGGCTCCTGAAGAAGGGTTCAGCCCCATGGAATTAGATGGTAGTCGAACTATGACATGAAGAGAATGGGGAATAAGAAGTCCTTACATTAATGTCAGTCACGTGGTGCAACTTATTTTGACAAACTGCATGCCAACTGATTAGTTATATAATCATTAAATCTATTGTGAAACAAATATTAATGTCAAATGAAAATTAATTTATCCAGGTTGAGATTTTATAAACTTCATTTGGTTCATTTCGCGTTCCAACATCCGTAGACAACCGGAGTCAAAATTATGAGCAACATTTCATGTGACTGCAGGGGTTCTTTGTTCCTAGGGCGGTGATTAACCCTTTGAAGCATAGGCCTTGTAATAACTGTGGGCACCATTTGCTGTAACACCTGAAAACAGCGCATTTTGCACAGAGAATATTATTGTTATCTCAACTATTAATCAAGGTATTTATATTGGTATTGTATTGGGAATTGTGTTTGTATTGTAATTGTAATTGAATTGTAATAGTATTCTTTATGTGTACTATGTGACAATTACTGTTATGTACTTTTGTTTATTGTTGTGTAGTTTTGTGTGTTGTGTTTTGTTCTAGCGTGGTGGGTTATTTTGTGTGTTGTGTCTTATTGTATTACCACTGCTACCGGGTAAACACTCGTTTGCAGTAAAAATGATAATAATTGTAATAATAATAATAATAATGATGATGATCATAGTGTATTTCTTATGCTTTTCAGAGTAAACACTGTTTTCCTAAACAGTATTAAAAGTTGATCGTTATAATGTGCACTTTGTGTGAGTTATACAAGGAATCTTTAAATAATATATATATAGACAATTTAATGTGTCAGCGGCTCAGCTAAACTGAAAACACAAGTCGCCAATGAGATTTGTCGTATTACCGTTTAGCTTTGAAGATGCTGGACAT